AGTGGGTGAGGGTACTTGTCAGCAAGTCTGTGACCAGAGTTCAAACCCAGGGAACCATATGGTGGAAGGAGAGAAGGTCTCTCACAAAGTGTCCTCTGATTTCCACATGTGTTCCATGGCATTAGCATCAACTCTACCTCAAGGAGTTAATGAATGAATGAATAAATAAATAATAAATAAATATAAATAAATTTAAAAGATGTCAGGCTGGTGAACTGGCTTAATTGGTAAAGGTGCTCACTGATGATGACCTGAATTTGATCCCCAGATCCCACAGTGGAGGGAGAGGATGCCTAAAAGTTGTCCTTTGACCTCCACATGCACAAAATGGACTCATACCACATACATGCATACATACATAATACATACATACATACATACATACATACATACATACAATAAACACATAGATAGATATTAGTCTTCCATTCATGATTGCCAAGAGTTGGAAGTAACCCAGATGCTTCAAAGAGTAAATGACTAAACACACTATGGTACACACACACACACACACACACACACACACACACACACACACACATGAATCTCCCTATAGCCCCCATCTGGCCTGGAACTTGTTATGTAGATCAGGCTGGCCTTCATATCACGGAGATCCACCTGCCTCTAACTCCTGAATGCTGGAATTAAAGGCATGTGCTACTATGCACATCTTCATAATATATATTTTATATCATTTAATTAAAAATAATTAGGGACAGGGCTGGAGAGATGGCTCAGTGGTTAAGAGCACTGACTGCTCTTGCAGGGGACCCAGGTTTGATTCCCAGCACCCACATAGCGGCTAACAACTATCCATAACTCAAGTTCCGTGGAATTTGACACTCTTCTGACCTCCGAGGATACTGCATGACATGGATGTACTTCCATGTATGCAGACAATACACTCATACACGTAAAAATAATAAATAAAATATTTTAATAAAACAAATAATAAAGGAATGCCTGACTTTTAATAGATTTCCAATGGGATCCTCCAGCCCAGCCCCCCGCCCAGATCTACTGCTCTTTATGTTATATCTGTTTAGCTCGAGGCTTCGGCTTTCAATGTGTGTGCTAAAACCTTGTAAACATTTCTCTAGAATAGGCCCCTACTCTTGGTTTTAGACCTGAATGTGCTGTTTTTTTTTTTTTTTTTTTG